TTTTGTCTTTTACACCGTTTCACCCTTTGCAACTATTTCGACGTCTCCCGCCTCCTGCACAGACATCAAACGCGGGTCCGTACCCCCTCGACTCTCGGGTTCACAACTCGCGTAACCGACGATGCAGACTCGCACGAGGGGGTCGAATTCTGTTTGTCTTCGATGTGCGCCACATTCTTGCACGCTCTTGAGGCACGGGTGAAAAGCGCCCGGCGCGTGGCTAAAAGCATCGTTATTGAGGGTACGGACGCTACTTCTTTTGGTTTACTTATCTGGGCAAGGTGGTCGAGTCCACTCTTCACTTTACAGTAAGCTGCCAACGTAAAGGGGACGGGGCATCTAAGGAGTGCTGACAGAGACAGAGAGAGAGAGGAAGCCTAAAAGTGGGGTGATCATCTGTTGGAAATCATGGAGTAAGGCGCAAAAAACAACGGACACTAGAGAGAAAACAGACATACAGGCGCCTTACACCATGATTTCTCTCTTGTGCCCGTTGTTTTTTGCGCTTTACTCCATGATTTTCAACGTTCACCAACTAGCCCAACTACAAGTTTGTCCACGATTCTCTATTGTTTTGTGAGACCGAAAGCCACCACTTCTCTCATTCTCTATGATCTCCCCTCCCCTGGTCTCCACGAATATTGGTGTGAAAGTGGGAACCGATGAACGATCGATAAACCGTAACCTCCACTTTTTTTCTGACTGGTCGAGTTTTCGGTCGTGGAGTGTCCGTCGTTTCTGTGGCCATCTCTTAATGAGGTGTTCAAAATTCAGGGCATTAAGGAGAAGGGAAACCTAGAGTTTCAGTGCATACTTTGCTTGCCAAGAAAACTCACACTATCGTCAGCAAGAACAACAAATTGCAACCTACGGAAACACATCAAGGAAAGCTGAGACACCTGCATTCTGCATTGGCAATACATTGTAAGGTCAGAACCATGTTTTTATTTTCTTGTGAATAACGGGCGGAAGACCCGAGTGAAAAGGGAGCTCTCGTAGATCGCCTCTTTAGCTCCGAATCACGTAGCGGAGATAGACGCTGCTACTGAGCATGCGCACCGCTAGCTTTGTTTGCACACTTCGAGGGATCACAGTTCCAGGTGTGTGGTTGCAGCTTCCGGTGCCTTGTCAGCTTATGGGTTAACGGAGTGCACCTACATTCTTTCTCTTCAATACAATATTTTTTTTTTCAAGACCTACCATAATACGGGCGTATGAGATTTGAAAAGTGGAGTTGCCGAACAGTTTTGAAAAAAAGATACAAATATCAAGAAGTATTGTGAAAGTAATTTGTAACGTAACGAGTAAAATAATCTGTTACTTTTCAGCGAAAGTAATTTGTAACGGTAATCCGTTACATTTGAGATTCGGTAATTTGTAATTGTATCCATTACACTTTTCAGGTAACAAGCTCAAATCTGGGAACAACCCGCTGTTTTTGCGGTGACAACTGTATGGGCGACCCATGGGTTCAAATCAACCGACGCCCTCCCCCCCCCACCCCCCCTTTTTTTTTTTTTTACTGTGGTATAAACTTACCGTTTGAGGAATTTACCAGATAGCTGCTCACAAAACTGTACGTTTCAGTTTATTTTGATCTTAGAAATTCTGTAATTTTATCATTTAAGCTGCAAATGGTCTTTCCTGCTTTCGGCTTGGTGACTTCTTTGAGAATTTAGATATGATGAGTGCACATGCATAGCCTTAATCAGCTGCCAAATTTCACGTGCACCCACAGCATTGACTGCATTTCCCATTAAAACGTTGTCCGGAAAAACAAAATTTAATGATGAATTAACATACTACTTACACGCAGCAGAAAATAAATAAGTATGTAGCGAGTGTGGCTATAAGCTCAAATTCACAGCAGAATGGTCATGCAGTGAACCGAAACGTCTCGTGGCTTGAAAATTTTATTTTAAGTTATCCGTTTATTTTTATTTGTAACTGAATTGCTCTTCCATCATGTATCTTATATGATGGCAGACGAGACACAAATCTTTGAAAACGTGCGAGGAGAAGCGTGAATAGCTTGTAATCGCTGCAAAAGACACTTTTTTTTTCTCCAGAACTGATGCGATGCGATTGACCGAACTCTTGACCGGATGTCTGGATGACGAAAACGCGATTGTGACAAACGAAAAACGAAACAAAATATTTTACGGCATCTAGGTGTTTTGTCCGCAGTATATATATATATTTTTTTTTTATTATGATACAAACATAAACGTTAGTTCCTATTTTTGAACGCACTGAGTTTTCTCTTTTATTAGAGCGATACTAGAGCAATAGCTGCTCTTCGTGGCGAGAAGTTGGGGTATCACCGCCTGGTGGAATTTTTTCACAACCCAGACTGAGGATACTTCAACTTCCTCTGCTGGTGCAAGCATGTGCACTGCCAAGCTTCTACGCAATATGAAAATTAAAACAACTGCGGGGCTACTACGCGCACTGCCCATAGTGAGGAAAATAGGAGCGCCTTTAGCGAGCTTCTCATCCCGAATACTTCGCTTAAGCTTAAGTCCAGAAGCAGCCGATGCTACAAGCGCGAGCTCCGGGCCTTCAGCGTCGCTGGCAAGCACCTGCGCTCATGCAATCCAAGCACTGTTCAGGGCCACATGCTTGCGCTTGTAGCATTGGCTGCGTCTGGATTTAAGCTGAATCAAAGTATAGTGGGACTTTTCGCTGTTTCGCGCCGTCGACCGCGCTCCATATCGACGAGGGCCATTTTCGGAACTCCGCCAAAACATACCACGGGCCGTTGATAACAAGATTACACGCACGCAGGATACCATGCGTGGTCAGTAAAACAGCCCTCGCCGGCAATCTTGCAGTGCACTGGGATGAGTGACCATGTGACCCAGAATCAGCGAAAACAACAATTCTCGGGAGATACGCAGATAAAACTGCCTTTAAATTTTACGTTGCATTCTGTATCAGAAAGCAACTGGAAAGTGCGTTAGTGACCTATCAATGCACGTTACCGATAGTGTGTTTTGTTTTCGAAACGAATAACCAGGAAGAAGGTATTAATAATCTGGGTTTGCTTCAATAAACCATTTAAAAGTGCACTTCGTCTTGTCTACTTCATTGTCCCTGGTTTATTCGGCGCTCTTCGTTAAGCACGTGTGACTATTGAAGTGACGTATGAAAGCACACTCCCCTCTTACGAAGACAGCTGAAATGCTCTCTACTTAACACACTTTCGTTGGCTCGAAAACACTATAGACTTTTCGTCCGGTGTGTTACTCGGTTTAATACCAAACGCCTATGTGGACTCTCTGGTGCGCGCTCGCACCTTTACCGTTCATTCAGTCCATCTGCTCTGAAAGGACACCTTAGTGGCTTCGACCAGTGACGTAGCCAAGGGGGGAGGCTTATGGCGGCTTCAGCCCGTCCCCTCCTTCCTCCACCCCTCGCCCTCAAAAAAAAAAAAATTCCAGATGACCTTGTAAGAGAAACATGCATTTTGACCTCCTCCTCCCCCTCCTCCTCTTCCCACACCCCAGGTCATAGACATCCCAGCCACCTCAACCCCCCTCCCCCTCCTCCGAAAAAAATTCCTGGCTAGGCCACTGGCTCCGTAGTCACACCTAAGCTTTCGCCATGTTTCACCTTACGGGTTGCGTGTTGAAAAAGGTTTGATTGACAGCTGCACTATTTTGTGGGGCGCACACAGTGTTGTAAACTATGTTCCAAACGGAGTATATATGCAAGTGAAAAAGGCACTCGAAATACTTATAAATGATACGTCTTAGATTTAGGTAAAGAGTTTGGTCGGAGGGGAAAACGGGATTGTATTCTAACATTGAACAAACTGGATGTTTGACGTTTACTAACTTGGCAGGCAAGTCACAATTAACAATTTGTAGTTTTCGTTCCCAATGAAAAAAATAGTAACGGCCCACACACACATACAAAAAAACGAGAATACAACAACATTCAGTTCTTGTTATCAAGATATGCTGCACCCCAAGTTATAAACAACCATAGTATAACAGCGACGGTATCACTCTTGAAATACTACGAGGGTAGACTGATAAATAATAAGACCATTTTTTAAAATTCTCTAACAAGGTAACTGCTGGCATTTTTTATTTTCAAGGTCAGCATTTAAATTCAATATACCAAATAAAATGTTAAAAAAGAGTTCAATATAAAATGTTTGTGACATCACTTTCAACGTTTCAGCCACGACTTTTTTCACTTCATCCTATGAACAAAGTTTCATTCTGTGGAGTTGTATTCTTTTTTTCTTTTTTTTTTTTTGGGGGGGGGGGGGGGTCGAAGATGCCTCAAATTTACACGGCGATAAGTCCGGGCTATATAAAGAGTGCAGTTACAACTCTTTCAAGGTTAACGCAAAATTAAATCACGCACTCTCTGTCATACTCTCACAGGCACGCGCCTTCGTCATCCGCCTTGATGACACGTATAAGGCACTTTCTTGTTTTGCGACAGAACGCTAAAGATGTTTACGGTCCAACTGCAGGTTTATACATGCGGATGCATTATCTACACAATCCTTAGCACACAGAAAAAAAAGGACTTTATTTTGCTTTTCAGTCAGCCCAAGTTGTTGCCGCTGGTTTACAAAACATTAGTAGCCGAAAGGGCATCTGTTTGTGTTGATGTCATGGTTGCAGTAACGTGTCTTGATCGGAGACATTACGAAAAGCATCAGCTGCCATGACTTCGAACTGCGGGCTTTTTCTTGGCTTATGATCACTGGACGCGTTTTCTTACGTTGTTCGTTGAAAACGACCAAGTTTTGGATTAAGAAAGCCTTCACCAAGCTATGAAAGCGTGGACTGTATAGTGTTCCTCCGGGGCCCGAGTTCAGATGCGCGTAAGAGTGCCTTACGTAGAGTAAGTACTATGACGTCAAAAATAAGACTTCCGTGTTTCCGTATAAGTGTCAAAACTTTATTTCCCTTCGGTTTCTGTTGATTTTGCATAAACCAACGTTTGACGTACCTAATGACAAACGTACAAAGAGGTCAAATGCCTCGATTTATTTTACAATAAATCAAATAACCATGCAAAATATATATCTGAGTATTGTGTGCGGTTGTATTTAGTTAGTTAGCTATAAAAAAACAGCAAAAAGAGGGCGGCAGCAACCCCGGCTGGACCGAAGGTCACAAGCCATAGAAGTTTAATGAGTAGGTATCTCAGTGTCTTCAGTGGAAAAAACGTAATTCGGAGCCAGATGCCTAACATGCGCCGCAGCATCAAAACCATAGAAAAGACTACCACCATGAAAAGATCAAGCAGGTTGTTGCCACGGTCGTCTCCATTCCCGTCAGACGTATCCACTTCTAGGACCTTTGTGGGGGAAATAGAAGCAGAAGTAAGGCCTAACCACGTAGTCCTGGTTTGAGATGCAAGAACGTAAAACACACTATTACGCAAGAGAAACGATTTGAGCATCCCCTAAATGTGCTCCTACATTAAAGCAGTATGCTTATACGAAAAGAAACTGAGGGAGAGGAAGACATGATAGCAGACGGGGAAGACAGAAACCCTAGCTCTGACTGGAAACATTAGTGGGTAAACAAAAAGGCTAGCTGCCTTGGCGTCTACTTACTTATCCTTCCAATGAGGGCTGGGCCCCTTGATGTCCCCGCGTGCTCTCATTTCCTTCCCCCTCAATTTCTCTTTGTAGTATTATGATAAATATTATAATTTATCCTGTCTCAAGAGAACTGCAGCCACACAGAAAGACCTGCAGCCCTTACGAGTAACGCCTAATGTGCAGCATTTAACGATGAATCGATAACATTGTTCAGATGACACAAAAATGCTGAAGCTAGTACACGTCTTGAAATGTTTATAAAGCAACGTCACAGATGACTGCCACCTGTTGCAGTCATTGAAAACATTGAAGACGTTGAACGGTCGAATGATCGTAGACAACTATTTCCGGAGCTTCGTCGGCACGAGAGTCATCACGTGAAAAGCTCCTCGTCATACTTTTGTCTACCGATTTTACCAAGGTGGACCCCGTGAACATTTGTGTATTCTTACGTGCTCTGAGAACACCAGTTTTGCGACGGAAGTATATTATGCTTCAAGGCAGGATGCCACAAATATTCAAATACCAATTTACGTGTTCTGTTTGTATGTTCTTGCAGGATTCTGTGCGGTTCTTGCCCAAACGGTGGTGACAACCGAAGCAGTGGGATATATATATATCTGGTCGAGAGAAATCTATGCAGTGTTTAATCTTAAGAATATTTTGTATTCGTTACAAAGAAAGCCTTCGCATCCCCGACAAGAAAAACACCTATACCTTGGTTTACTGCAAATCCACACTGTTATAGTTTATTTATAGGATTCAAAATAAAGGAGCTGCAGATTGGCGGCTATATTGATGCAGTATTAAATTTATTGAAACACCGTATGGATTTTCCACTACATTAATAAAACAATTCCAAGCGTGGGCGCATTTGCTGGACGCATTGTTACAACAAAAGAAACGAATATATTTGCCGTGGCTACAATTTTGAATTCTCTATCGAACCGAGATAGCTAGATTGCAGTATGTTTATTTTTGCGTTTATGACCTTGCACTGATTGATTTTATTTGATATATTAGTTTTCTTGTATAATGTCCAAATAGGGCCTAGAAAAACGAAATGATAAAAATATTGTTTGTTTTTTTTCAACTAAACAAAATTGCGTCGCTTGATGGACTCACTCTAAGGAAACATTATTGGTCGATTAATGAAATGAATGTAAAGGCGCAGATGAGCTGGTTTAGATAGAACATGACATAAACACGGAGCCGGCAGGTGAAACCGACACACACTAAAAGGTCTACAGACCTTTTAGTGTTTGCGTCGTTTTTACCGGCAGTTTCGTGGTTTATGTCAAGGTCGATTAAGTATTGCGTACGCTTCAGATTCTATCCGAGCGTAGCGCAAATCAATTACGAAAAGATAACACCGTTTTTTGAATCTTAACATTTTCCCATTTCAAAGCAGCAAAAGTTATTCTGAAATGTATAGACCTTTGCATCGCTTATCACCCGGGCGAAAAATGCTGAGTCACTGAGCTGTACACTCACGCGCAGCGACTGATCCACCGCACAGCTGAGCAACAGCGCATGTTCAGAAGGCGTTCCACAGCCCAGCAGGAAAAGATGGCAGCGCCAAAAAAGCAGAAGCCTGTAATTGTTTCCGAATTTACGCGGGTTCTATAAATCGTTTGTTCCTGGTGGCCGCCATGTTAAATTACGAATTGAGTTGGGGCAAGATAGCAAATCATTTTTTGCCGACTGGAAGGCGCTAGAATTGAGATAATTCGCACCACTGGTTAAACTTCATCTTTACTATAATTTTTATTGTCGTTACGCCTTACTTTTATAATTTTATTTTTTGTTGCCTAACCCGGCTACGTCACATTTCAACATGGCGACCTTTACACGAAAAGGGTCTACACTTCGTTTCAGTTTCAGTTCAGACACAGCTGATGCCATGAACTACTGGAGCCAATCAAACTCCGTCAAAAGCGCAAGTCACGAGGCCTTCCCAGTACACGATTGGTCGAGTGACGATAAAATACGTACGGAAGCACGACGAAAACCATGATGGTGCGCGTTTGACGATGTCCGAGTTGTTCCATCAGTTCGTTATTTTAATTTCCCCGAGTAATTATTTTTCACTTACAAATCGCACATTATATTAGGCTTATTCTAGAAGCTTCTTTTCAATATCGAAGTGTTTTAGCGCATCGTTCCGCTACTACCGATAACGATACCCGGCTACGATTCAATGCTAAAACTCGACACTATATGCTTATTTTGAATGTAACGCTAAGGGAACCGTTATTTCTCAAAATTCAAAGCACTCGTTTATCAGCTTTGTCTGTATTTGCTACGAATATTTTTAGCACGCTCGGATGAATAAGGCATTATTAATGTTGATTAAATGGACGCCACACTTTAACCAGGCCTGTAGGCTTTCTGATTTTAACTAAGAAATGCCGACAACCGTTCCTTGGTGTCAAAAAACACAAAATCGGTTAAAAACGAAAAAAAAAAACAAAAAAAAAACACCAACAGGACTCCGTTGGCGGCAATACAAGATCAGTTCAAAACAAAAATTACGCATTTCTTGAATTTTCAGCTCAAACAAGGGCAGTTTTTGTAGAAGCCGTCCCCTCCTACAACCGAATTCTGTGCTTTACATGTTTTGCTTTTCTCCGATAATCATTGTTTTAACGTACTTCCGGAGTAGATCACCGAAAGCTACTGATATCTTAAAAGTAAAAGACACCAAAGGTGACGAGAATAATCCCTGGAGAAGGGGAATAAGAGGGACAAAGGACAGATACAAATCTCAGACCACATGCCAGGTGACTGGTGCGCGACCGAAAAAATCCGTCTGGTCTGGGTATCGAACCCGGGACCTCTCCATTTTCACAGGTCCCGGGTTCGATACCCCGACCAGGCGGATTTTTTTTGGTCGTGCACCAGTCACCTAGCTGTGTTTGCAGATTTATGTTTGTCCTTTGTCCCTCTTGTTACCCTTCTCCAGGAATCTTTTCGTCATTCTTGTCCAGCTCGCTTGCACCTTTGCATTTAATTGCATTAAAATCACACCAAAAGTATCCACCAATTTTCCTTCTAAACATATATACACCAGAAAATCTGGGGCCTAACTATTCGGTTCTTCGTGTATTTTGATCAGATCTCTTTTTCGGAGGCTATCATATCCTAAATATCTTGGCCGCAAAACGAATGATTCAGTAACGAACACAAGGACAATGAACGAACGGTAGGGCTGAAAGTAAGAGCAAAATACCGATATGTTCAGAAACGACCAACTGCACTTTTTTCTTGGACAGCCGATATGTCGGACCTGGCGAATACGTCAAACCGTCGTCCTACTTTCCGCAAAAATAAGTCTCTAGCTCGTGGGGAACAGTAGTACAAGGGGTCCTATAAACTCGTCGAACACAAAGTTTAGGACCGAAGTTACGGAGCGAGCCTATTGGACTCTCGCGACTATATGCCACCGCACATTTGTCGTCGAAGCTCAATTGGAGCGCTCGCTGCGAACTTGATCGGCTCGTACTTTGTGCTTGGCAAGCCTAGCGCCTGAGGAGCTGACTTCTCTGTTTGCCGAACAGACGTATTTCTAATTTACTGGAAATCAGTATGACCAAGTATGATCGATGTTGTAAGTAAAAATTAAAAATAAAAAAAATAACGATAACCACGTAAAAGCGTTTAATGAATTTTTCCTGGAAACAAACGTTATTCGCTCAAATATAGAAAAAGCCATAGGGGGAAAGCAAATATTAAAGCAAAAATTAGAATCAGATTTTTATAGCCCCTTTTTAAATGGTGGGTTAAAGGGAAGGCTAGGTTAGGTTAGGTTGCTGACACATTGAAAAGCAAAAGTTGTAGACACCTTAAAAAATGCGTGTCTGAAGTGTTCTCTCGATCTTTTTAGCAGGAGCGTCGTAAAAGTCAATTTCAATGTCGACGTAGAGACGCCCGTTGCTGCGCGCCGACGGTTTTAAAGCGCGAAAGCAGAGAGAAAAACTAGCAAAACTGACGTCATCAGCGGGGTCGCCACTAACCTGGCTCAGGGGTGCCACCGATGACGTCACGATGCTCTGCACAGAAAACAGGCGGCAGTGTAGGATCGCCGCGTGCCTGGAGGCAACCGCTGCACTTATTTTTCAAATTCCATGTGGTTTACGTTTAGTTCTGCCCAAGATAAATGAGATAACTGAACTCACGGGACAAAAAGTTATAAAAGTCCCCTCCTAATTCATATTTCTTGAAAAAGTGCTTCAGCTCCCCTTTAAGCTTAATAAGTACTAAAACGAGTAATATTTGACGGAATACCTAATTCAGGAACTGGGTTAAAGTTATCTACATTCCTTCTGTTTATAGACTTAAACGTAAACGTGTCGCCAGAAGTCCGCCTGACTACGCAAACAATATGAAAGCGGTACTTAGTAAACTCTGACCAGTTTCTTCATTGTGCCCGACGTTTGGAAACCGGCTCGGCTTCTTGTTCACAGGTGACAGTATGTGGGCCTAAAGGGCGCAATCTGTCGTTATTTTCTTCATACTGTCAGCATTGTTCTTTCTCTTCTGTTTTTGTGTGTTTCGCATTGCAGCCTGTACATATAACTGCTTGAAAGCGTTCCGGTGGAATGGTTCAGGTTGTTGGTATTCCGTATATGCCAAGATTCTAACAATTAAGAGTCGTCTCCTTCAGGTATTGACTTAAACAATGTTGGCTATTCCATATCGCGTTGGCACTGGAAACAAGTCGGTACGCTCCAAGTTTCATGAACATATA